GCCTTAAAAAAGGATGAGTTCCTGTCCTTTGCAAGGACATGGATGAATCGGGAAACCATCATTCTTAGCAAACTGACACAAGAACAGAAAACCAAACACCGCACGTTCTCACTGATAAATGGGTGTTGAACTGAGAACACATCACACATTGTGCTCTTGGGAGGTGGGGGGCTAGGAGAGGGATAGCAGGGGATGGGGAGATTGGGGAGGGATAACATTAAGAGAAATACCCAATGTCGGTGACAGGGGATGGAGGTAGCAAACCACTGCGGGATGGTATACCTATGTAACAATCCTGGAAGATCTGCACATGTACCCCAGAACTTAAACTGAAAAAAAAAAAGAAAGAAAGAAAGAAAAAGAAATTAACTAAATACACTTTCAATGTCTCTGGATGAATGTTAATATTATAAAGATAGCAATTCTTCTCAGATTAATTTATACATTCAAGGGAATTTCAATGAAAGTCATGGTTGAATTTACAAAATTCACGTGAAAGACTAAAGGTCCATGAATGGCCAATTTGATCTTTAGAAAAGAGAGAAATGTGGCTGTTCCTGTTCTATCAGATACCAAGACACACTCCAAAGCCTCACAGCAATAGAAACAGTGTGATAGTGGTATACAAGCAGACAGTAAAACAATGGAACAGAATAGGCAGTTCAGTAACTTAATATATGATGAAGGTGGCACTTCAGATTAATATGAAAACATCAGTATTAGTTTCTGTTAGTAGATGACGCTGGGAACATTGATTCCCATACACAGAAAGATGCAACTGACTCCTGTTTACCATGTGCAAAGTTGGACTCCAGATAACGACTTGGATATAAAAAATATACATGTTTGCTTTAATAGAAGATGTAGTATGATAATATCCCGTTACATGAGGCAGAGGAAACGGCTTCTTCTACTTTCACAAAGGGTAAGTCATAAAGCAAAAGCTAAGGATTTCCATGCAATGAAAGATGCCACAGGCAAGGTTAGAAGTGACAGATACAGAGAAATCATTGGTAATGCCTAAAGGTGACAATGAATAGAAACCTAGAAAACACAAGGAATTGGGGATTTCTGCCCATCAACCAGAAGGAGGTAGGAACCTTGACATAAAATTAAAAAAAAAAAAAAATCTCAGAAATCAAATAGGTGATTTACAGACGGGAACATCCAAACAAAAGTTAATAAACAGCAGAGTTGTTCCACTGTATTATTTCTCAGAATTTTAAGTCAACATGACAATGAAATATCATTTCACACACAATAGCCTGGCTAAAGGATAGGGATGTGGAATTACAGGCACCCTCATGAATAGGATGGTGGAAATATAAATTGGTATTGCAGTCTTGAAGAACATCCTGGCGAGAAATGATCAAATGAGTATGCATATTTCTAGGATACAGGAATTCTCTTTCTTGATATTTCCGGAAGGAATTCACACACAGGACCACGTTGGAACAGCCTCATGGATATTCATCATAGCATTGTTTGTGGGAGTTGGAGGTCATCAGGGTACACATCTCTGGGATAGAGGATTGTCATAATGTTCTGTATGTCCACCATGGAACACAGGGCAACCCTCAGAAGCAATGCGCTGAACGTCCACACAGCAACATGGCTCATTCCCAAAGGCAGAGTGCTGAGTAACAGTTGGAAGAAAGAATGATATCTGTAGCTCAAGACCATTTATGTAATGCAGTAAGAAGTGCACACAAGGCTGGATGGATGTGGTGGCTCACAACTGTAATCCAGCACTTTGGGAGGCTGAGGTGGGCAGACCATCTGAGATCGGGAGTTCGAGACCAGCCTGACCAACATGGAGAAACCCTGTCTCTACTAAAAAGAATACGAAATTAGCTGGGCATGGTGGTACATGCCTGTAATCACAGCTACTTGGGGGACTGAGGCAGGAGAATTGCTTGAACCCGGGAGGCAGAGGTTGCGGTGAGCCTAGATCATGTCATTACACTGCAGCCTGGGCAACAAAAGCAAAACTCTGTCTCGAAAAGAAAAGAAAGAGAGAAAGAAGGAGAAAGAGAAAGAAAGAAGGAGAAAGAGAGAGAAAGAAAAGGAGAAAGAGAGAGAAAGGAGAAAGAAAAGAGAGAGAGAGAGAGAAAGAGAAAGGTACACATTACAGAGCATGCTGGCTCACACCTATGGTCCCAGCACTTTGGGAGGCTGAGGTGGGCAGATCACCTGAGGTCAGGAGTTTGAAACCAGCCTGTCCAACATGGTGAAACCCCATCTCTACTAACAACACAAAAATTAGCTGAGACTCATAGCACGCACCTATAATCCCAGCTACTCAGCAGGCTGAGGCAGGAGAATCACTTGAATCTGGGAGGCGGAGGTCGCAGTGAGCCGAGATTGTGCCACCACACTCCAGCCTGGTCAACAGAGCGAGATTCCATCTCAAAAAAAAATACAAATCTAAAATAAACTTCTTGAAAGCATAGACACAGATAAGAGAATATGCATCAGAGATACTTGAAAGTTTGGTGGTGGCAGGCAGGTTGTAGGAATGAGAGTGGGAGTGGGAAAAAGAAGAGAATAACTAGAGAAAGGAGGGAGGAGTCCAGCACAGACCATTACTGAAAGCATTTTCTGTTTCTTTCCCTCCTGAAAACGTTAGGAAGGGTGAGCCCACCAAGGATCCTGGCTTTAAAGGCACACAGGTGAGAATGGATGAGGGATAGTGTGAGGGCATGAGTTTGAGACGGGTGGATGGGAGTAAGGGGTGACTTGAAAGGTTATTTGCTACTGATAAGAATCCCAAAGAGGAGAGAATTAGAATCCAGGTGAGTACTACCTTCTTCCTGCTTTTGATGGCTTTTCCTTGGGAACACATAATCTTTAGATTGAAAAAAAAAAAAAATCAAGGCCAAGTACAAACCACAGGGGGGCACTTTTCCCTCATTAAAATTGAAGATGCAGCATCTTAAAAAAAGAAGTCCAGAAAACACGAGGGGAAGGCTTTGTCTCATGTCACTGGGGATTTTCTGGCTCCACAATTAATTGCCAACATCTGAGCTAATTTCCCCAGGTGTAATTTATCTCCACAAGGGGCCAACCTTTAAATCCTTAGAATGCATGAAATATAGCAGAGAAAGTACAGTTAAAAGAAAAAAAAAATAGTCTTTCAAACTTTAAAATCACCTGATCAAAATAAAATTAAATAACATAATACTGGTACAATGCTATATTTGTTTCTTCAGAGTCCCCAGAAATGCTTTATAGCTCTATGCTTTAAAAATATTTAAACCCTTTTCTCTTAAAAACTTTTCCAAATCCTACAGTCTTACAGTTTTGGAAAGCTCTCATTTATTTCTTCCTAAAGCTTTGATTTTGTTTCTAATTTTGCTCTTGAAATGGATTTCAAAATCACTCAAACAAATGAAAATAACATAATAAAAATTTTTGAATATGGCTGTAACAAAAAGCTCAGCTTAGGAATATAACAGCTCTATAGAATATCATCTTATATAGAGACCTTAAAATGCTAAAATGTGTATTATTTCATTTCTTTTGAATAAAGGTAGTTGGGGCAGATATATTATCTTGAATTCAGAAAAAAGTCAAGTCTTTTAAATGAAAGTTTCAAGGGAAGTGTTGGTATTTGAGGTAGATTTTGAAAAATGGGTAGACTTCAAGTGACGAAAAGGTCATTGAAGGCAGAGGGACCAATTTGAACAAAAGTTCATGTATTAGCCCATTTTCACATTGCAGTAAAGAACTGCCTGAGACGGAGTAATTTATAAAGGAAAGAGGTTTAGTTGACCGTCAGTTTCACATGGCTGGGGAGGCCTCGGGAAGCTTACAATCATGGCAGAAGACGAAGCAGGCATTTCTTTTTCTTTTTTCTTTTTTTTTTTTTTTGAGATGGAGTTTCGCTCTTGTTACCCAGGCTGGAGTGCAATGGCATGATCTCAGCTCACCGCAACCTCCGCCTCCTGGGTTCAAGCAATTCTCCTGCCTCAGCCTCCCAAGTAGCTGGGACTACAGGCGTGCGCCACCATGCCCAGCTAATTTTTTGTATTTTTAGTAGAGACGGGGTTTCACCATGTTGACTAGGATGGTCTTGATCTCTTGACCTTGTGATCCACCTGCCTTGGCCTCCCAAAGTGCTGGGATTATAGGCGTGAGCCACTGCGCCCGGCCAGCAGGCATGTCTTACGTGGTAGCTGGCAAGAGAAAGCATGTGAGAGCTCAGGAAAAACTACCATTTATAAAACCATCAGATCTTGTGAGAATTCACTCACCATCACAAGGACAGTATGGGGGAAACTGTCCTCACTATCCAATCACCTTCCACTAGGGCCCTCCCTTGACATTTGGGGAATTATAATTCAAGATGAAATCTGGGTGTAGACGCAAAGCAAAACTGTATCAGTTGAGAAATGATAAAAGTGAAGACATGTTTGGGAACTGGTGAGTGTTCTTATTTCTTAGGTTCTAAGACTGGTCATAACAAGAAACACCAATATAATACCTAGTAAGTGCTTCGTACTATTCTAAGCTCCTAACAATATATTAACTCACTTAATCTTTACACAACCCTAACAGAAGACTTTTCAAGTGGAGTAACTGACACATAAAAAGTTGACATCTGGGCCGGGCGCGGTGGCTCACGCCTATAATCCCAGCACTTTGGGAGGCCAAGGCAGGTGGATCATGAGGTCAAGAGATTGAGACCATCCTGGTCAACATGGTGAAACTCCGTCTCTACTAAAAATACAAAAAAAATTAGCTGGGCATGGTGGTGCATGCCTGTAATCCCAGCTACTCAGGGGGCTGAGGCAGGAGAATTGCCTGAACCCAGGAGGCGGAGGTTGCGGTGAGCCGAGATCGCGCCATTGCACTCCAGCCTGGGTAACAAGAGCGAAACTCCGACTCAAAAAAAAAAAAAGAAGAAGTTGACATCTGAGCTCACACAGATGTTGAACCCTGGTGTCTGGGTGCTGATAACAAGAGTATAGTGTGTAGTTTGGATATTGACTGTGGAGTTGATGCAGGACAGGTGAGCCTCCAAACTGGGGCTAAGCCCAGGAAGGTTCTCAGCTTCACCCAGGAAAGAATTCAAGGATGAGCCAGTGGAGTCAGACAACAATCTTTTATTGAATGGTGCTGCTCCCTGTGGAGCAGGGCTGACTCATAGGCAGCGCACTACAGTCAGCAACAGTCTGGGCTCTTGGCAACTGTATTTATAACTCACGTGAATCCACTTTCAGTTACATGCAAATTGAGGGGGAGTTACTTTGAACTTCTAGGAAAAGAGGCAGTAACTTCTGGGTTGTTACCATGGAAAAGAGAAGTAACTTCTTGGGTCATTGCCATGGCATTTGTAAACTGTCCTGGCACTGGTGGGAGTGTCTCATGCTAATAATCAATGAAGATAGCTAATGATCACTTTCTTCACTTTCTGCTGGTTCCTGCTGGTTGGTTTCTTTCTTCCTTTCTTTTTCTTTTCTTTTTTTGAGACAGGGTCTCACTCTGTTGATCACGCTATTCTTTTTTTGAGAGAGGGTCTCACTCTGTTGACTAGGCTAGAGTACAGTGGCATGAACATAATTCACTGAAGCCTTGATATCCCAGGCTTAAGCAATCCTCCCATCTCAGTTTCCTAAGTAGCGAGACTACAGGCACAAATCAACATGCTCAGCTAATCTTTGTAGATGCAAGGTCTTGTTATGTTTCCCAGGCTGGTCTTGAACTCCTGGGCTCAAGCTTCCCAAAGTGCAGGTATGATCTCAGCCTGGTTTCTTCACTTCATCCTCTCAAGACTGGGAAATAAGTCCTGCCAGTCTCCTACTCAGTTTCATCTCAATTGCAAGGCAAATTTCCTCTTGGAACAGCAGCATGGCGTGAGACCTACATACAACAACTCTGAAGAAAAATGTTTTGGAAGTGCCATATAGGATTGATCAGGTTAGGAAGTAAGTGAAGTCAAGGGACCAGTGTTGATGCTATAAGAGGGGAAGATGGTGACAGAGAAAATATATAGAAGAGGTGAAAAGAGAGGGGGAGAAACTAAAGATAAATCTAGGAAATGTAGCCTGAGAGGCCTGACAGCGGCTCAATAGTGTCATCATAGAAAATAGGCCGAGAGGAAGGTCTAGTTTGGGCAGGAGGAGCAGATAAACAGGAACTTAATTGAGGTACTGGTGGGAAATCAAGGTGGTGAGACATCCAGGAAGCTTCTAGAAATGGGAATGTTTTCTATTCACTAGAGAGGACAAAGCTGGAGGTCAAATTTAGGAGTCATCCAATTAAAGAACAAGGAATCCAATCCGTGCATGCACAATGTTCTGTGAGAATCATAGCAGAGGGCTAGAACTAAGAACTGGACCACAGAGAAAAGCATTTTAGCCTATACTTTTCAAAGATTTTTGACTTCCTTCCACCCCCTAAATCCAGAGCCATATAACATACTCATGCCACTAACAAATCCTTTAACTGATTATTACGGGACTCAACATCAGTTTAGGCCAAGGTGGTCTAAACAGAGCCTCTGGGAAGGCCACTCTCAGATGTTGAGGCTGAAAATATCTTGCTTCTGTGTTAAGAATGATTCTTGTTCTGCCTTCTTCCACTTGTTGTTTTGGTGTGAGTGGGTGTGGTGGGTCACTTTCTATAACTGTGGATCTTCATCAACAAGCTATTATTCTATGTCATACTTTTTTTAAACAGATGGTATCTCACTATGTATTCCAGGCCAGTTTCGAACTCCTGGCCTCAAGTAATCCTTCCACCTCGGCTTCCCAAAGTGTTGGGATTACAGGCATGAGCTACTGTGTCTGGCTCCAGCTATTGTTGTATACTTTCTGCTTTTTCTGTTCCTGAAAGGATGCTGCAGATGTGGACATCACTGGAGAACTCACCTCCTTTCCCCAGTAAAAATGGAATGTTAGTCTGACTTGCAGAGGGTCTCAGAAGGGGGAAATGTTATGCCTGTGTGTTTATCAGGCTTGTGAATTCCATGGATCTGCCATTTTCAAATTCAAGAAGCCTCCCAAATTAAAAAAAAAAAAAAAATTCAAGATACTGTCCAGGCCAAGGGAAAACTTTCCCTTTACCCTCTGAATGTTCACTGGAAATCACTGAAAAGAGGCAGATTAATAGAAGAAAAAGCACATGCAAGAGAGAGAGCCAAGTGAAAAGGGTTTCTCCTCATAAAAGCGTTAGATCTCGTGAAACTTACTTCCACAAGAATAGCATGGGAGAAACCGCCTGCATGATTCAATTATCTCCCACCACGTCTCTCCTACAATATGAGGGAATTATGGGAGCTAAAATTCAAGAAGAGATTTAGGAGGGGACACAGCCAACCATATCAGTCAAACAAGGTAGATCAAATAATTTCCTTATGGCTTGTGGATATTTTGTTTTGTTTTGTTCGAGAAAGGGTTTTATTCTGTCACCCAGGTAGAGTGCAGCGGCATGATCATAGCTCACTGCAGCCTCAAACTCCTGGATCTAAGCAATCCTCTGGCCTCAGCCTCCTGAGTGGCTGGGATTACAAGCCTGCACCACCATATCCACCTAATTTTTAAATTTTTTGTAGAGTCAGGGTCCCAGGCAGATCTTAAACTCCTGGACTCAAGTGATCATCCTACCTTAGCATCCCACAACGCTGGGATTACATTCAAGAGCCACCATATCCAGCCCTTATTGGTGGTGGTTTTTACACAGAAAGGTTGGAGTTGGGGAGTTAGAATGATATTTTTAGGTTTTATAGCTTGTTTGGGGGGAAAAGCATTTCTGGCTTCTATGACCTCCCTTGGGGAAGAGAGATTCTCGTTTCCATGGCTAGCCTTGGGAGAGGATGGGATGAGAGACAGAGGGCAGGAAAAAGTCCAAGAAAAACTTTTGCTTCTGAGACCTTCATTTTGGGCTATTGTTTTCTGAGTCCCAACAATACTATGACATTTATTTATATCTAGGAGACATCAGCATAAAGCGCATATTGCCAACAAACTCCTAATCTGTGTCTTTAATATGTTATGTATCCATTCATTTGGCAAATGTTTTCTACCACCTACTTAAGTAACAGGGTGGTTCTAAGTGCTGGGGATACAGTGTGAACAAGACAGTCAACATTCCTTTCCTCTAAGAGCTTTGACTTCCAAACAGGAAAACGGTGAGTCTCAATGTATTTCCCTAAATGAAAAGAGCAGTTAAAAAGAAAATAAGAAAAATGGTGAATTTAAATTTCTTAAATATAGAGACAAGTAAAAATCAATTTAAAAAGGTGAATTGGTAATTCCTTAAAAAAAAAAGTATGGGCGAACTATCTGTTACTTACATGTGGGGCTCAAAGTAAGTCATATTATTTCAATATCTATATTGAAACATTAAAACTTCCGAATATGTGCTTTATGTAAAAATGAATGGATCAGAAAAAGGCACGAGGAATTTTCCTTCCCTCGGGTGTCTATTAAATGCTGTTTGTTTCTGAGAGGAAGACTCTTCCTTCCCTAGGTTGGTTAATATCCATCTGTTCAGCTCTGCTTAAACCTGATGACCAGCTCTACAAAAAGGTGCATTCTTAAAATGGCAACTCATCTTTAGCCTGTAATTTGAGATTTGGCAATCTTTTGTATTAAATTTTTATTATCTAGCTGTCCTTTCTTCTAATTAAATCTCTAAATTGTGTGTGTGTGTGTGTGTGTGTGTGTGTGTGTGTGTGGTGACACTGGTCTATTCCTATATCTCTATCCTAGTATATCACTGACAAATGCCTATAATTTATAGTTACTTAACAAAAGACTCCCGAGTACAAAATGGCTTCATTTTAACAGCATTTTCTCTGAAAACATGAGTCCCAGTAATACTACTGATATTATTGTACTTCTTTAAGCTGTTTTCCTGAACAGATTTAAAATAACTAGGACAACATTAGTAATTCTAAGGTGGCATTAAATCAGCAGCAGCAATAACATACCATAGTTCTAAGGAAGAATGGAAAAATATCTTCTTCCAATTCAGTGGCGACATGAGGTCATATTTGATGGGCACCTATGGAGATAGTAGAGATTGCTGGGTTCACAGCTGCTAATAATTTGCTTTGGGACCTGGAAAAAGCATTATTTCACTTCCCACTGGTTGGCTTTCACAGCTGGAATTGAAAGGGTAATTAGACTGTTGTTTGGATAAGGCATGAAAGAAAATTTTAGCTGTGCTCTTCTTAGTCCGGTAATCTAAACACAAAATATGATGTTGGCTCAAATGATCTGAATAACTCCTTCAAACTTTTGTTCTGTGTGCATGTTGGAGACTGGATTGAACAGACAAAGTGGTCATCAAAGAAAAATTGTCAAAGCAAAACAAATAAAAAATCCTTGTTGGGGAATACAACAGTGAAAATAATTGGCCAGAGAAGTTCCAAGCTAGTAAATTTCTCAGAGAAAGCAAGAAGAGAATGCCAAGTTGTCTCGGCTCTATAATATTAGTTACAATATAAATTTGACTAAATTTATACTTTAATTACATACCTATAAGATGTTAAAGATCACTGAAATGTCTTAATAGAGTTAATGAGGTGATAAGATAGGGTACAAAATGCCAGCTAGGTCAAACATGAAAAGTTCATCATCAAAGTAGGCAAAATATAATTATATTCATTCTCTAGCCTAGATAATCAATTCATTAGAATCAGGTGCCTCTGAACACAGGTGCAAAATAGGAATCATTCAAATATGCAAAATATAATTAAAGGAACATTTTCCAAGGGAAAATTAATTAATCTGGGTAAACATATGGTTATCTCATAACTTAAAAGTGAAATTACCACTTACACTTCGTGTAGAGTCTGGGAGAATAAGAATTCTGGTTTATAACCTCAGTGGTTTGGAACAGTGAGGTGATCAGCATCCTTGGGATGGAGCCATCCTAAGTAATTCAGTGAATGTAAGAGTGTAAGAACATGCTCTCCAGAAGCATGGTGAGTTCGATAAGCAGAGATCTTCTCATCAAAAATTCTTCTGAGGGATGATCAATTCTATGTCCAAATATCAAGAAACGGAAGGGAGAATGTCTAAAGGGAAGAGGTCTGAAATGAGGCATTTTATTCATCAAGGATTTTTTAAATTAACAGAATAATTTGGCTTTAAATAACAATTCCTGTGCTATTCATGTGACTCTAGATCAAAAATGCCTCCAGATCTTAATTTCTCACCTCCTACTCTTATAAGGTACAGAAGAAGAGAGATTTATTTTCCGTGCAATTTCCTAATCACAATAGTACTATTTGTTAATCCTCAAACGGCAACTTTTGACTTTCTATTTGGACATCCAATTTTCCATATTTAGCTATTGGAACAAATAAGTTTCTTGGATCAGTGTTTGATTTTACTAAATCGTACTTTTCTGGGCTCTCAGGCTTGCTTTTTAAAAACTTTGATAGTGATCCAAGAAATCTATTTTATGTGTAAAAAGAAAAGGTGAAATATATTGGGTTTTGAATAATTTACAGTATCTTTATAGGGAAAAAAGGTAGATATTTTATAGTAAATAAAATATGTATTTAGAAGAACAACATAAAAATGTGATGGGTTCCTGGGTGACTGTTCAGAATACCTTTGCACAGAATGTGTTATATATTTAGACCCACAATATATTTTATTATTTTTATTTATTTATTTATGTTTTTCGAGACAGAGTCTCACTTTGTCGCCCAGACTGGATTGGAGTGCGGTGGTGCAATCACAGCTCACTTCAACCTCCGCCTCCCAGACTCAAGCAATTCTCCTGCCTTAGCCTCCCGAGTAGCTGGGATTACAGGCACTGCCACCATGCCCAGCTAATTTTTGTATTTTTAGTAGAGACGGGATTTCATCATGTTGGTCAGGCTGGTCTTGAACTCCTGACCTCAAGCAATCCACCCACCTCAGCCTCCCAAACTGCTGGGATTACAGGTGTTTACTTTGCAACAACTCTGGGAGAGACATATTCTTATGCAATTAATGAAATCATTAGAATCATTAAAACACATACTTAGTACTTAATTCAAAAAGACCAAAGGAATGTACGATGGAACATTAAGTCTCAGGCCACTCCAACGTTTCCTCTCCTGAAGCAACCAAGGCTACTGCTTCGTGTATACACAGCCATACTTGATGAATACACTCCTTTTCCTAAGCAAGGCAAATGGGACCGTATTATACATAGTTCTGCACCTTGCTTTGGGCACTTAAGATCAAGAATGATATTTTTGTCCTGATTTTATAAACAAGGAAATTGAGGCTCAGCGAGGTTAAGTTCACCTTAGCAAACTGAGCGGAACTGAGAGTTCAGGTCTCTCTGGCCCACATCTCAGGTTTATTTTATTTTCTCTTGTTGACACTTGAAAGCACAGGTGTGCCTTTTCATCTATAAATAGCAGTGACTGACACCAAGCCTGGCTGGATTTACAAAGCACCGGAAGTCCGTCTTCTCCTCTTCCTTTGTGAATTCTTCTCCCACCTCCTAGGACTCTCTCCCAGCCCTAAGCTTCCGGTGCCTTCATACAACTCACAATGCCCTCCTTTAGCTGTTTCCTTAGGTCTCTATTGTTATAGTTTTCTCCAGAAATGCCTAATGCACCCCCTTCCAGTTCTCTCTCCTTTACACCTCTCACTCACGATCAGAAATTCTTTTTCTAAATAAAATAGCTTAGTGTTGAGCTATCTGGGGTAAGCACCCCACAAAGGGGAAGGGGGTGGATCAAAGAACTCTGCAGGTGGCAGCATGTGACTGCAGCTAGACAACCACAGCCTTATCCCTCTTACTAGAAAGATGAGCTCATGACTCCAGCTGGGTCCTGTGCAAGGATTTTTCTAACTGCAGCTGGGGTGAAAGCCATCTCTTTGGGACACTATAGGGCTACAGGTATGAAGCTGAATACAGCAGATAGATGAAGAGAGCCCTCTTGCATTAGGAAGAAGGAAGTTCAGATGCAATGTGTTCAAGAAAGGCTTTCTCAGGGAATTTGAGGCTGAGAGCCAAAGGACAAGTAGACATTAGCCAAATGAAGGATGGATAGGTGGGTGGTGGGGGTGGTGGGTAAGACAGATAGGGGAAGTTGTTGGAGAAAACATGGCGTGTGCAAAAGTCCAGAAGCAGTAGAGAATATGTCCTGATAGCTCAACTGCGGGAGAGTGAATGTGGCTAGAGTACAAGACGAGATGAGGAAACTGGAAAGGTGAGAGATGCTTGAATCCCAAAGCAATGCTAAGGATGTGGGGGCGGACAGGAGGCCATTGGAAGTGTAGGTGTGTTTGTAGGGCATGGGGGGAGTGGGCATTTCATGATGTGCCAGGAGTGCTCCTGATTACACGTGATTGACCTGGACAGCAGTGGAATTTAATGGGAGGATATTTATTGGTGAGTTCTGGAAACTTCAGGAGGACTAGAGAACAGGGATTGGGAAATTGACATAAACCCAAGGAGGCCAGGCAGCTAAGTTATGGGACTCCGATCCGGGTGTGGCCATTCAAACACTAACCACCCCAAAATCTGAATATTGAGGAAGTGACACCAAGCTGCAGGGATGCTTGGGAAATTATTCAGCGTGGTGGCAATGGCATCAGAGATTTCTGTGGTGCTGCTGGTGGTGTGTGTCCATGGAGCCGTGCCTGTAGCAGATCCCCCGTGGGATTGTTTCTGTTGCCTTCCCTGGCACTGACTGGCACATCAGAGCACCCTGTTGTAAGACACAGAGCATGAGGATTTTATTTAATCAGGTTTGGTGTGGATTTTGGCTGTGCCATTCACTGGGTATATGACTCTGAGTGGGATGTTTAACTTCTCTGAGTTTCTTCAGCTGCATAAATGAGGGTAAAATGAACCTACTAGGGACTCTGTTCCTCCTCCTGGGTTTTCTAAATCAGGAGTCCCCAGGCCCCAGTACTGGTCTGTGGCTTGTTAGGAACCAGGCCACACAGCAGCAGGTGAGTGGCAGGCCAGTGAGCAAAGCTTCATCTGTATTTACAGCTGCTCTCCATCACTTGCATCGCTGCCTGAGCTCTGCCTCCTGTCAGAACAGCAGCAGCATTAGGTTCTCATAGGAGCCCGAAACCTATTGTGAGCTGTGCATGCAAGGAATCTAGGTTGCAGCTCCTTATGAGAATCTAATGCCTGATGATCTTTTACTGTCTCCCATTACCTTGTGGTGGGACCATCAAGTTGCAGGAAAACAAGCTCAGCACCAATTCTACATTATGTCAAGTTATATAATTATCTCATTATATATTACAGTGTAATAATAATGTAAATAAAGGATACAACAAATATAATGCCCTTGAATCAGCATGGGAAGATTGCAGAGTAATCTATTAAAATCTCAGTACTATATTTACGTATCACCTTTTCCAAAGAAATGTGTCCAAGTGAAATTTTTAGCGGGAAAAAATATTTTCATGGGAAAACAACTTGCTAGAACTTTTTTAGTCTGTGGCTGACACATTTATCTGCCCTTTCATTCTGCTTTAGTCTGCGCTGTTGACTGACGAAAGCATCTCCTTATATTTACTTTTCTATAATTACTGTGATTGTACCCAGCATTTCTAAAGGCCATTGAAGTTTTCAGAGGAAAAGCAGTGGTTAGGCTAGCCACAGAAAAATGTCAGTTGCATATTATAAACACTTTGGCATTTACGTTCATTTCTGTATTTAACAAATTCTTATTTTGCCCCTTCTATGTGTTTTAGGCACTGGAAATGCAGGAATAGGGTGAAATAGACCAAGTCCGTGCCTTCATGGAGCTTCCATTGTAATTGGGAGAAGTCTCTAACAATGTGCAAATAAATACATAATGTATTTATTAGTGACAAGTGCTAGAGAGAACATAAAGCAATGTAGGGAGGTAGGAGATGTTGGGTGTCTAGGGTTGAAAGGCAGTTTAATTTGATTAAGGTAGTATTTGACTGGAATAAAGAAAGAGGGGGTAAGCCGTGAACATATCTGGAGCAAGAGTTTTTCTGGCAAAGAGAACAGAACGGCAAGTGCAAAGTCATGGTGGCAAAATCACGTTGACCCTGTGTTTCACAAATGCATCAAACATTCCCTTCCCGAGGATGGAGAGCTGATAGAAGGGATGTAAGAAGAAAATGATCTGAAGTTGATGCCCGATTCCCAAATATTCCTAAATATTTATCCTCAATCTTGACATGTCAGATCATGTTCTAGAAAGATGCCTGGGGAAAAAAAGAGGCCTTTAAATGAAAAGTTGAATTACTTGTGTCAATAGAGATGAGAATTTTCTACCAAGTCCAAAACCTACATACGTACAGGTGGGGACAAAATTGGTCCTATAAATCAGTAGTGAGGATTATTATTCTACTGAGTTGCCAGTGACTGTAAAATTAGCTATTTGCTCATTTTCTATTCCCTATTTTCAGAGATAAATACAAAATCAATACTAATTTTGAATGTTAAATATAGGAATGGAACAACTGATACTTTTCAGTTATACTGATTCATAAACTATGAATAAAAGTGTTGAGTATTTTACATGGTTTTATTTAGGTTTAATGCTTCGATGATATTAAGAAACTTATTTTTAATATGTTGAGTAGTCAAATGGCATGTCAAAAACCTATACAGGACCATGGATACACTTTACTCAAACAATTATTAAAATCCTGTCTCAGCCAGGCGCTGTGGCTCATGCCTGTAATCCCAGTACTTTGGGAGGCCAAAGTGGGCAGATCACAAGGTCAAGAGATTGAATCCATCCTGGCCAACATGGTGAAACCCCATCTCTACTAAAAATACAAAAATTAGCGGGGCATGGTGGCTCATACCTGTAGTCCCAGCTACTCAGGAGGCTGAGGCAGGAGAATTATGTGAACCCGGGAGATGGAGGTTGCAGTGAGCTGAGATTGCACCACCACATTTCAGCCTGGATACAGAACAAGACTCCATCTCAAAAAAAGAAAGATCCTGTTTTATTCTTGATTTGAAAGAAATTGTTTTCATTAAGCAATTAATTAAGCATATGACTCCCTTTTGATTTGAGTTGTTAATTTGTTTTATCATTCTATTTGAAGTTGCTGTCATATCCATCTTGTTTTATTAAAGTTTTCTTTCTTTTTTTTTTTTTTTGAGATGGAATCTCACTATTTTGTTCAGGCTGGTCTTGAATTCCTGGGCTCAAGTAATGAGTAGCTGCCATTACAGGCATGAGCCATTGTACTGAGCCTGTTTTTGTTTGTTTTTGCTTTTTTTTAATTTAGGAAAGTTTCCTAAATATGTCCTTTCTAAGATGATAATGGTTTTCCTCCAATACCCAAATAATATGGTAAATAAAATTTGTTTTCTCATGTTGAACCATCCTTGCACCATAAGAATAAATAGGAATGGTTCTTGTATTGTAATTTTGGGTATTTATGGTATATAAAGTTTGTTCATTCATTTGAATTGCTGAATAAACAAGCCACAAAATATTATTGTTCTACTAAGGGACAATTACATAATTTCTATTTCCTTTCTTGGTATAAAATTCTAGGTTGGAAGTAATTTTGCCTTATAATTTTGAAGGTGTTTTCTAGCTTCCAGTATTCCTACCAAGAATGTAATAGTTCTTCACTTACCTAGTGTTTATTACATGCTGGATGCTGTCCTAACCTCTTTATATAAATAACTCTTTAATCTTCACAATAGCATTATGAAGTATAGTTACTATTATTATCTCCATTTTTAAATATAAAGAAATTGAGGCAGAAAAAGTTAAATACCTTGCAGGTTAAACACTTGCACGTAAGTGGAATGACCCAGGTATGAACCCAGGTAGTCTACTTCAAGAGTTCTTTTTCAGTTGGTAGATTTCACCACCTCTTATGACAGCTTAATTCCTGAGCTCTTGTATGCGACCTGTTATCTGGCTTTAATGCTTACGTTTTCATACTAGTGCTGGTGTAAACCTTGGCTTCCCAGCAAATCTCTTCTTCCTGGAGCTTTTTTTGATGGTATCATGGTCATATTTCTGCAGGAACTGATCTGGTCCTCACTCATGTGCAATGTGAAAGTGTCAGGGAATGTACAGCTCAGGGGACAACCCCTGACAGATGGGAAACAGCGATGGATAAAGGCTCCTTTTCTCTGCCCTTCGGGTGAATGATTCTGAGATTCCAACTCCAGTGGGTGTGCCTAGAGGAGTTGGGCTCCAGTTTCCCATAGAGTGAAACAATTGAGTCATTTCGCCATTCCTCATTCCTACTGCTGGAGAACACTTCTCAAATGAGCTTCCTGCTTGCAAGCCTTTGCCTGAAGCTTTGCTTGGTGATTTGGATGTGATGAACAGGTCAAGCATTGGTATCAGAAGTGGCCCTGGAAAGCAAAACCTTAGGAGGGGGCTCTGAAATGGAATCTGAGCAGTTACATAGCAACAAGGATCCCATTGTTGGTGGTGGGTAGAGTGGCAAGAACGCTTGACATCACAATGAGAGTCTCACTGACAAGAATTCAGGAGAGGTGCAGGTAGAGATGAAGCATCCAGTTGAGACACAAGCAAGGCCTTTCAATAGTGGGAGGGCAATGGTAATGAAATGAATGATGAACCGCCTGGTTTTGGTCAATGCTTTAGAAGCTTTAAATTAAGAAAATGTCAGCCTTAGGTTAGCTAAATATCAACTCAACGCTGGCTTTGAAAGCTGGAAGACCTCTATGGCAGCATGTAAAGAGGGAATCATCACTTGTAGCTGCAGATCATTTTGGCCCAGGATTTAATCTTATGGTGGCGGTGCTACAAAAAGGACTGAATCTACAGCCTTGACAGGTCACCTATGCAAATGCCAAGGTTATGACAGGAAAGGAATGGGACTTTGAGAGCTGTCATGGTGACATTTGGGTGGATTAACCTGAGCATCTTTAACCTCCAGGCTCCCCTAACTCTCTGGGCTGTCAGAAGCAGCCCTTTCCTTTCAATTAGAGCAGCTTCATCTTACCTGGATATACCTCAAAGACCTCAATGGAGGCAGATACTTCTTTTTATGATGTCCTCGTCAAGAGCTGCTTCCACCTCTCTCGTTGCCTCCAGACCAATAACTAGGGTAAGTCACAGCACGGCTTAAGAAAGAATATGCAGACAGTCTGGACTCCAAGGGGAAAGTGAATACAGATCAAAAGTATTGGTCGGGCGCTGTGGCTCACACCTGTAATCCCAGCAATTTGGGAGGTCAAGGTAGATCGCTCGAGGCCAGGAATTCGAGACCAGCCTGGCCAACATGGTGAAACCCTGTATTTACTAAAACTACAAAAATGAGCCTGGCATGGTGGCAGCCACCTCTCATTTCAGCTACTCAGGAGGCTGAGGCAGAAGAATCACTTGAACCCAGGAGGCGGAGGGTGCAGCGAGCCGAGAACTCCAGCCTGGGTGACAGAGCGAAACTGTCTCAAAACAAACAAAAAGCATTGCAGCAGTTACTAGCAGAAACTGAGGGACACATTTGGGCATGTATCTTGAAGGTCTCAGGATAGACAAGATAGAAAATAAGACTGAAAAAGGGAGAATTTGTGAATATAGCAACATTCTCTTGTGAATCAGTCTAATGTGGGGACACAGTTCCACTGCAGGATGCCTGTCATTCATTCTTGTGCAACCTGAAAATTCAGTGTGCAATGGGAACTGAGGGAGTAATGCTAACCTGCTCTCAGGCAGAGAACAGAGGCACTTTCTGTGAAGTTCATCACAGACTCCTTGGCATGATTTAGTCTCTTACTCTCAGGGATGTCCAACCTGATTATGTGCTTTTACACTGGCTTTCTCTCCTCTGCTTTCCTTTCTATATTTTCTCATTCCTCCTACCAGGGATTTATTCATTCATTTATTTTTTTGAGATGGACTTTCGCTCTTGTTGTCCAGGCTGGAGTGCAATGGCACAATCTCGACTCACCGCAACCTCCACCTCCCGGTTCAAGCAATTCTCCTGCCTCAGCCTCTCGAGTAGCTGGGATTACAGGCATGCACCACCACGCCTGGCTAAGTTCTTTTATATTTTTAGTAGAGATGGGGTTTCTCCATGTTGGTAGACTAGTCTTGAACTCCTGACCTCGTGATTCGTCCGCCTTGGCCTCCCAAAGTGCTGGGATTAAAGGTGTGAGCCACCACACCCAGCCAGAGATTTATTTTTAAATAAACTACCTGACTGGGCACTATGGCTCATGCCTATAATCCCAGCACTTTGGGAGGCCCATACAGGAGGGTCACATGAGCCTAGGAGTTCGAGATCAGCTTGGGCAATATAGCGAGACTCCATCTTTCAATATAAAAAATACATTTTTTAAATTACATGGCATGCACCTGTAGTCGCAGCTACTTGGGCTCTAGTAATCCTCCTGCCTCAGACTCCCAAAGTGCTGGGATTACAGACATGAGCCACTGTGCCTGGTGAATTGGTATTCTCTTTATCATTTGCTTAGAAGTCTGAGTTTTCTATCTCCTCCACCTTCTTTGAAAGATTTTTGTACTTTCTTGGGGAGGAGGGGGGTAAAACAATTATGACTTTTTCTGACTAGCAGGATTTTTAATGATTTAATTGTATTTTTGCACGCTGAAAGATGAAGAAAGCAACATGCTTTTACTACCTTCTTATTTTATCCTTTCTACTATTTGCCATAAACTGAAATTTCCCTTTCAAGATTTATTACATCAACATATTATTTCATATTTACCTATTTTTAAACAAAGTATAATACTTGTATTGTGGAATCCTAATATTTAAACTTAATTCTATTTTTAAGTGGTTTATTTTCTCATCTGAATTATTTATGAAGAAGACTTCTTTGTAAAGTCCTTTTTTGATTCATGTTTTGAGGCTGAGTTATAGCTCAAGTTGATTTTTCTTTTTTAGGATACACACGGAAGCGTTATGTATTCTGAGTGCTTAAATATTTGAAAGTATTTGAAAATCTCATAGTTAAAAACATTTGCTTTTACCTATGAAAATTCTTGGCTGGGCATGGAATTTGTGAGCCACACCTTTTTTGTTTAAAAACTCTGTAAATATGATTTTGTTGCTGTTTAGTTTAAGGTTGCTCAGTTGAAGTTGGAAGCAAGATTAATCTTTATCGTTTTCTTCTTTCTAGATGTTTTTAGGATTCTTTCTTTGTCTTTGAATAATATCTGCAACAAATAAGTCATGAAGTGAGTCATTCTCTATTAAATTTATTTGTAACCCCATGAGTTCACATAGTGAGTTCAGACAAGAAGAAGAGATGTTGCAGATTCACATGTTCCTTTGTTCAGGAAAGTTTTCTTCTATTATGTTCTAAGTGTTTTTAATGTTTTATTGTAATGCTTTTACAAAAGAACATCTAATACCTATTAAAATAATAGTTGTATGTTTAATATCTGTTTTTGGGCTGGGCATGATGGCTCACAACTGTAGTCTCAGCATTTTGGGAGGCTGAGGCAGGTGGATCACCTGAGGTCAGGAGTTTGATACAGGCTGGCCAACATGGCAAAACACTGTACCTACTAAAAATATGAAACATTACCTGGGCATGATGGCACACACCTGTAGTTTCAGCTACTCGGGAGGCTGAGGCAGGAGAATGGCTTGAACCGGGGAGGCAGAGATTGCAGTGAGCCGAGATCATGCCACTGCGCTCCAGCCTGGACAACAAGAGTGAAAGTCAGTCTCTGTCTTTTTTGGTTAGTGCAGTTTCCCTGTCCTTTTCCTGTGTGCGTTTTCTTGTTTGTTTGGTTGGTTGGTTGGTTGGTTTTTGCAGTTGTCACCAGTCCAATCTGACACTGATTCAGATTTTTGCCATATAAGTTCTGCAGATATTCTACGTTCTGCCACATTTTTCTGTTTATTTATTATTTATTTATTTATTGTGTGTGTGTGTGTGTGTGTGTGTGTGTGTGTGTGTGTGTGTGTGTGTTAATGATGATAGGAAAGTCCAAAGAAAGAACTGAAAGAGTTTGACCACGTAACAAAACCTGAAAGGGTTTTTCTTTCTCTGGACTTTCCTATCATAGTGTTTACATTATAATTTCCTGGGGAGTATGAAGTGGTTGTTGCTCAAATTTTCTGCTATTTCTTGGAGTATGTCTTGTTCCAACACATATTCTTTATTTTCCTTGTTACTGGTTACATTTCTTTTCTTTTATCATATATTTTGCAGAACCTTTGCATAAGTTCCTTTCCTGTCTGGTAGTCTTTGAAATAAGTCATGTCTGCTCCTTTCTGCTACTCGCTGGGAATATTGTGAATGGAAATTCTCTGGCAGTCCTCTTCTCTTGGTGCTCTTCTTGAAACTTAGTTTTGCATTACAGATCAGCTGTTGAATTTTTTTTTAAGTTTTCTGTTTATAGTTTAGATTATATGGAAGGAAGAGGTGGGGAAGAGAAGCTGGAGGAACAAATTTGACAGAGTTTGACATATTATCTCTGAGACAGGGTCTTTCTCTGTCACCCAGGCTAGAGTGCAGTGGCATGACCTTGGCTCACTGCAACCTCCGTCCCCGAGCTCAAGTGATCTTCCCACTTCTGGCTGCCAAGTAGCTGGGACTACAGGCATGAGCCACTATGCCTGACTAATTGAAAAAAAAAAGGCTTTTTGTAGAGATGGGTTCTTGCTATGTTGCATAGGCTTGTCTTGAACTCCTGGACTCAAGCAATTCTCCTGCCTCAGCCTCCCAAAGTTCTGAAATAACAGGCATGAGCCACTGCACCCAGCCAACTTTTCTACTTGTTTCCCACAAATATAAGATCATAAATAGAGGAGACATGTCTTGAAATTGGCATTCTTGTCCTATTAATTCACCTTCAGCAGGGAGTTTGTGAGATGGGGTTGCTGCCATTTTATAGTCTTGAGATATTAATAAATAGTGCGCATTTCCCCTTTTGGTCCTTTGTGGTATTTCAAGTGCATTTCAAAGAGTATTTTTGGAAATTTGAATGTTTATACATTAAAAATCTATTTCATAAAGTAAATAATAATTCTTACATTTTATCCCCATAATTTTGTTATACTCTTTAAGTTAAAACGACTTTATGTATAGAATTACTTTTTTTTTTCTTGAGACAGGGCCTCACTTCATCACCCAGGCTGGACTGCAGTGGCACCTTTTCAGCTCACTGCAACCTCCACCTCCTGGGCTCAAGTGATTTTCCCACCTCGGCCTCAGAGTAGCTGGGACCACAGGTTTGCACCACCATGCCCTGCTATTTTTCTTTTTTGTATGTTTTGTAGAGAAGGGGATTTGCTATGTTGCCCAGGTTGGTCTTGAACTCCTGGGCTCAAGAAGTCCACCCACTTCAGCCTCCCAAAGTGCTGGAATTACAGGTGTGAGCCACAGTGCCTGGCCCCCATTCCTTAATATTCAACTAACAGTGGGCAAAAATCTGTAATAAGACATATTTGGAGAGATTCTGAGGGCATTGATTTCTTCAAGTCATTTCTACTTTTATTTATGTCCTATGATTTATTGAAAATACATAGTCTTGGTTATCACATTCTTATAAACGTCCTCCCCAAGGTGTAGTTTAATGTTACAAATGACTTATTGTCCTGTAGTCCTTACAAATCTTTAATGTTACCCAAACCAATCAAGCAGTCTGAAACACCAGAAATCATCCTTTCTAAACAGAGGTAAACATGTCATCTGAATGAAAGGAAAGATTCTTTGGTGCATCAATTTTTTTGTGTTTCTCACGGCATTCCTTTTTTCCTTATATTGAAGATGTTGATATATACCAGTGAGATATATTTATATCTATTATGTATATAGTGTGCATATACATAGCATGCATTGTTTATATAGTGTATACACATATACATATAATCTATGTAGAGATATAGATATAGCATATCTATATACACTCATTCACTGGTATATATCAGTAAGAATTTTCAATATAAGGAAAAAAATGATGTAGATATATATAAATACTAGCTATGTAGTATATACATAAAAAAATGTAGCTATATTACATATACATAGTATACATATATACTGTATATGTATATATACATACTATGCAAACAGATATATGTATATATAGTTTCTATACATTTGTATTACATACATAATATATAGTTATGTATATATACAATATAATATATATTATACATAATATATACATTATATTATATAACAATTTTGCAGATGCATATTACATGCAATGTATATACATAGTGTATATTATATACATGATATATAACCTGTTATACACACTATATACATAGTATAATGTATGTATACACACTATATATACATAGTATATATACATTATACACATAGTATATACTATCTGTATATACTATATTATGTAATATTTATATGTATAGTATATATTATATGTATAGTACATACCAAGTATATATATATAATATGTAATGTATAGTGTGTATATATAATTATATATGATATATATACATAATATGCACATAATGTGTGTGTATATATATTATGTATATATCAAGTGAATCACTCGATACTTGTGATTAATCTTTCTGAATCCCCAAATCCACACCTATGGAAATCTTACACATTTCTAACTTTCCCCTGACTCACCTTTTTTGTGGAATGTCACTTGTCAGCCAAATATAAAAACCTTACATTCCATATCAGAAACCAACTTTCAAGAAGATTTCCATAGGCCTGGACACTTTTTATGTATTGAAACTGCCCAGTCATTTTTTAAAAATTATTTTGCGAAGGTAAGGACATTCATGATGGTGAACAGAGAATAACAAAGACCAAATGAGAGGCCCGTGTGGAGTGGACTGGGTGAGTGATGGAGGCTTGCCACTTGTCACAAGCTTGGGAGCAGCGTCTGGATGTCAACCTGAGTTTATGTTTCGGTACCTGGCCTCAGCTGTATTTCAAATTGCTGCATGGCATATATCTTTAGGGTTGCAAGTCAAACCTGCAAATGTTAAATTACCAAATGTACACTTTTCCAGCAGTGGTTCTATGGCTAATAATACTAAGGAATCATGTTCTTGTCAGGTTTCTTTATCTCTCAAGGATAAGCAAGTAATTCATATCTTACCCACCCAAGTCTTAAATTAGAAAGCTGTGGTAAAGTTCCCTACTGTCAAATTTTAACACTGGGCTCAGAATTCCCATTGCAAATTTACACTTGGTTTTCCAATTAAAATGGGCTTTTGCGAGTCCCCTGCTGATAGCCATTGGCTTGATAAAAAGTAACTTCATTTGCAGCAAGGGTGTTTAGGGAACCCAGTGCAAGGCTGACTCTTCTGCTGTTGCCTTGAGCCCAGCTGTGCTGAAATATTAAACTTTAGTAAATTAGGTGAAATTGCAGCTTCCTGGCTGATACAATAATGCCTTTTTCTTTTTCTGCAAACCATGTTCAGCATTAGTTTTCTGCTCTGAGATAAAAATTGGAATATCTTTCAAATCCAGGCAGTTCTTCATTTTCTAGACAATTGTGCCATATTCTACTTATTTAACAGAGGGCTTAAACTTTCAAGTATGTAGAATTAGACTACTGCATGATTTTATCACTCCTTGAATATGGCATTACTTTATTATGTCATACTCATCTGAAGGAAATGAATCCCTGTAAATGTTCGTCTTATGTAAAAGTGGAAGCCTATTTTTATTCTTGATTAGTACGTATATTAACAGCAATGATGAGTTATAGGATGAAATCATATTCCCAGTCACATTTACTTTTAGTTTTTTTGCTCCATTTTCTCTTTAAAAATGACACTAGATCTTATGTGTTTTTATTAATTGACCAAACGTTTATTGATCAGTTACTATGTGCAAACTTCGGCTTTGTATTCAACCAAATGTTTTTAGAGTAAATCCAGAATTAGCAGAGAGAGAGATGAGGGACACTTGTATCTCTTTTCTTGACATGTGTTTTCTTGCAATGGCATCTCTGGTGACAGCTTTATTTAGCTGTCTGGCCTGCTTGCTCTGAAATGGCTCTCACTTTGGCCTCTTTCAGGTGAAGACCAGAGAAGTCAGCTGAAATACAATATTTTTGTTGCTTGGGAAAGTGAACTTATCAAAGCCTTTTCAAAATTGAAATCATTTCAAAAGATTGTATCAAGGTACTCCCAAGATGGTGGAATCCAAGAGTTGCTTTGAAAAACTCTCAAATCTATACAAAATTAACAGTGAATAGTTTTATAAGCCCGCATCTAACCACAATGGAATTAAAACCTAGGGAAGTGGCTAAGTGGGGGCTTGGGCAGTCAGGATAGTTTAGGGTATAAAGAATTGAGACTCACTTCTAAATAAATAATTGGAGAGCCAGTCTGTTTCATAGCGTCATTGGATCACTCTCTTGCAATAGATGAGATACCTGTAAATGAGATACTAACCAATATGATCTAGATGGTGGTTTCGTTCTGGTGGCCACAAGAAGAATACCATAGGCTGGGTGACCAAAAGAACAGAAATTTATTTTTCACAGTTCTGGAGGGTGAGAAGCCCAAGATCAGTGCGCCAGCATGGTCAAGTTCTGGTGAGAGTCCTCTTCCTGCTTGGCAGAAAGCTGCCCTCTTGCTGTGTCTTACACTGCACAGAGCAGAGAGAGGAGGCAAATTCTCTGTGGCCTGCTCTTATGAGGTAACTAGTTCCATCCACCAGGAAGCCTCCACCTCATGAGGCTCCAAAGGCCCCAGCTCCAAATAACCACCACATCACATTGGGCATTAGGGTTTCAACATATGAATTTTTTAGAGACACAAACATTCAACCCATAGCAGTGTTAAAAGAAAAACATCAGACAAATTAAATTTAGCACAATTTATTTTAGCAAAGGATTCATGAATTGGGCAGCACTGACAACCAGAGGGGGTCCAGTGAGTTCCACCCAGTGCTGTAAGCAACAAAGCCTGATAGGCCAAAGTCAGAAGCACAGTAGAGAAATTGATTGGCTGTAGCCACGCAGGCTGCCTTATCGGGCCTGATGTAATGAGTTGGCTGCATGTGATTGGCCAGGAGCCCCCTGTTCATTACAGCCTAAGGTAGGTTTCCATTGTTAGGTGGGGACTCAAAGTACAGAGACAACTTCAAGCTAATGTCCTCTTGCTTATTTATGAGCAGTATGCAAACGTTTTCTGGAAAGCTTCAAATGGCAAATATTTCAGGCTTTATGGGTTATGCCACCTCTGTCACCACTACTGAATTCTGCCCTCGCAGCCCTAGCTCATACAGGCATGTACAGACATGAATAATACAAAGTCATGGGCATGGAGATTTTCCGATAAAACTATTTGCAAACACAGGCAGGGGCTAAATCGGCCTGTGGGCAGCCATGTGCTCACGCCTAAAAGCCTCCTAGTCCCTAATACCAGTTGGCTGTCCCTCTGAATCTAGGTGAAGTAAGCACAGGTTACTGCTTCTGTTCAGTGTCATGATCCACCCAGCAATTCCCCAGTCCCCAGCTTTCTTCCTGAGTGGGAGGATCTGGCGGAGCGACTGCACAGTTTTGAAAGTTTTTGAAGCGGCCCCTTTCTCCCCTCCTCTCTGCAGGCAGAGTTGTAGTGTGGCTGGGTGGGCTGCGTGGGCTTCCGGGGGACGCGCGGGCACTCGGGCGAGGCGAGGGCGCAGAAAAGTTGGAGCCCAATCAGCACGGAGTTGAGCTTCCGCGCCCCAACCTTCAGGTGACCCCGCGCGGCGGCGGCGGCAGCAGCAGTGGCAGCGACGACCGGAGCCCGCAGCAGCTCGGAGCGCCTCCGGGAGGACAGGCGGCGAGCTCGGCGAATCGTCATCTGCCAGCCGAGCGCGGAGCTCCGCCGGCCAGGGCCGGGGTGGGAGCCCGAAGCGAGCCCGGACGCGGCTTCTGCCTCCGCCCGCGCGGAGATTTCGCCGGCTGGGCTGGGGGCGCCACTAGCCGCCGCCTGTGAACGTTGGGGGTGCGCGGGGCTGCGGCCACGGCGGCGGTGGCGGCGGCGGCGGGAGCCGCGAGTCGGCGCCGCCCGGGCTGCGCTTCGCCCCGGCAGCAGCGGCGGCGGCGGCGCCTGTGGCTCAGGATGCGGCCGGGGGGCGCGCTGCTCGCCCTGCTCCCCAGCCTGCTGCTGCTGCTGCTGCTGCGCCTGCTCTGGTGCCCCGCAGACGCGCCCGCCCGCGCCAGGTAACCCTCCTGCCGCCGCGCGCCGCGAACCGCGCGCCGGGCGTCCCCGGACCCCAAGCAGCTCTTTGCCTCCGCTTGGGCGCGGAGACTTTTGGCCGCTGCTGGGAGCAGCCGACGGGCGGCGACGGCCTGAGAGAGGAGTGGGGGAGGAGGTCGCAGGGAGCCGACCCTTGGAGCGCTGGGCAGCGCCTGGGGAGCAGAGGGACCGACCGGTCAGGGCTGCGGGGGCTCCAGCGCTCATCGCTGTGGGCGAGGCAGCTGCGGAGCGGGACCTGCCGTCGGGTTCCCCATCAGGATCCCAGGCTCCCCATTCTGATCCTTGCTGTCTCTTCCTTCCTGCCCTAAGGCTCTTCCAACTCTGGGATTGGGGATCTGGCCGGGGAGCCGGGGAGCCCGAGATCTCCCCGCCAGGCTTGGAGGACTACGCTCAGCCTGTCAGCTAGCGGCTCTCGGCGGGGTGTAGCAACTTAAGTTTTCTCCCCGGCTGTGCAGGATCGTGGTGGATGAAAGCAAGGAAGGCACCCACGGCACTCCCGCAGCGCTGAGGACGCTCCGGAGCCCGGCGACCGCGGTACCGCGCGCCACGAACAGGTACAGCTGGCGCCCAGCGCCGGCGGAATGAGGCTAGGGGGCTGTGAGCCGGGCGCGGGGCGTGGCTGCACCGGCTTGGACTCGCTTGGAGTGGGCAGACTGGGACGACGCGATTAAGCTTGAGTGTGTGCGTGTTTGGAGAGGGCTGTTGGGGGTGGGGGGGCTGCACCCTTCACACTCTCAGCCCTCTAAGCCTTTCCCTCGATATGGATGGTTTTTGAATCAAGGGGGAATCCTCCAACAGCTGCATTTGAAAAATGGGTGCTGAGTTTCCCTCTCCACGACGCTGGGTTGAAAATCCCCCGAGAGAGGCAGCTCAGCCTGTCTTTACGGAGGGATTTGGTTGGTTTGCTTTTTGTTTTCAATGCTTTAAAGTGCACTCGTGTTAAGATTCAGGTTTGTTCTGTGTGCTAGGAATGATTTTGCCCTTAGTGATTGGAGGCTTAATTTTTTTTCTTATCCTTCCTTTGTGTATTTATTCATAGGCAGTCATTGTTTTTGTTTCAGATTGTAAAAGTAATACGGCTTTGTGCAGAAAGTTAGAAAATAGAACTGTGTAAAATAAAATGTTACTCGTTCAGAGTCCTTACCTCCCAGAGACCATATTCAGGTTGGTTTTGGCCGGTATTTCTTCCAATAGTCTTTTCTATATACATATGTTTGAAAAATAGAGCTGAGATTATACATTGTAGTTTATGTTCTGACTTTTGTTTTGTAAAAAATCATAGACCTACACCTGTCATTACATTTCCCTCCCCCCACAAAAACATTGCTTTGGGTTGTTCCATAATTTATCATCTGAACGTGCCATAAACTATTTAACAGTTTCCATTTTCAGACATTTAGGTTGCTTTTTGTTTTTGTTTCATTTTGTTTGCCGTCAGTAATTCTATGAAGTGCATCCTTGTATGTAAATCTTTATCTTCATTTCAAATTAATTGCCCAGGATGGACTGGTGGAAGTTGGCATTATTAAGTCAGAGTATGTACTCTTTAGGTTCTAAGTCACATTGTCAGTTGCTTCCTCAAAGGGTTGAATCAATTTACATTTTCACAAGCAGAATGTACTGCTTTCTGCCTTAGCATTGCTGTTATGATTGCAATCTTCTATACGGTCTCTTTTCCTCTTTTTATCTCTTGCAAATCCTTTTTCTTCTGTGCATGCTTCTCTATATCCTTGGCTCTTGGATCCACCTTAATCTGATGGTACGACTCCAGGCAGCCCCAGCAAGGCTCTAAAGAAGGGTCTGGAAATAGCTGGAAGAAACCCTGAAGTGAGGAACACCACGGCTGCCACCCCTTCAGTGCAATTTCACAGCATATTAGAGGCACTCGGACCTCCTGAAGGAACAAAAGCTTTTGAGAAAAATAGTGTCCTATAGTTTTATTCTCTTCAGGTTGGTTTACTATAGGTAGCCTAGCTTTCTTGATGAACTGGGAAGCATTCCATCTTTTCCCAAGTCCCGTGGCTATTACCCATTCTAGGGTTGCCCCTTTGGGAAAGTTTGAAAGAATGTACTCATTCAATGATTTGATCTCAGGTCGTTTTTAGAGGTAATTCTTTGACGAATTTTTCAGTTTCTTTTGACATACTTGGCATACTTGGGCTAATATACCTAACTCATAATTCTGAACAAGGCCCTTTTTATTAAGCAGTTTAAAATTTATACCATTCTTCTGTGTTTGTAAAAGCCTCTTCGTCTTTTGACAATGATGTCCCCTTTATCATTTATGATTTTGATTATTTATGGAGCAGGGGTGCAAATTTTAACCCTCCATACTCCTTGATTGTATAGAGAAATTGTAATCCCTTCATTTTTCTGGAGCTGGTCTGACATTCCCCCATGAGCCCCCCAGCAATGATGTTGATAGCAATAAGGAGAGCCAACACTGAATGAACTCTTCTTATGAGGCAGACACTGATCTAAGCACTTGACATTTTTAATTTAAAAATTTTTTGAGATAGCTTTGGTGGTAAAGTGCATTTTTGCTACATGGATATATTGCCTCAGGGTGAAGTCGGCATTTTAGTGAAACCATCACCCAAACAGGGTCTACTCATTGTACCCAATGGATAATTTCTCATCTCTCACCTCACTCTCCCACCTGTCTCCAGTGTTTAATATTCCACAGTCTGTGTCTATGTGTACCCATGATTGAGCCCCTATTTACAAAAAAACATGGTATTTGATTTTCTGTTTCTGAGTTATTTCATTTAAAAGAATGGCCTCCAGTTCCATCCCTGTTGCCGCAAAGTATGTTAAATCATTCTTTTCTTCTGACCGAGTTGTAGTATGTGGTAGGTATATATACCACATTTTCTCTATCCAGTCCTCTGTTAAGAGACACTTAGGTTGATTCTATGACTTTGCTATTGGGAATAAGCACTTTTTCTTTAATTCATTTAATCCTTAAAAAAATACTAAGAGAAACTATTGTTACCCTAATTTTTATAGATGAGGAAATTGAAGCAAAAAGATTAAGTACATTGCCCACAGTCATGGAGTTAACACATTGTGGAGTCTGGCGTGAAAGCCAGGCCAGGGAAATGCAGAATCCCACACATGTACTCTCCCACTGTGTTGCCTGTCATAGGTGCTGGGAAAGATGGTGTGTGTGTGTGTGTGTGTGTTCAAAACATTCGATCCAGGTGAAAGCTTAGATGTGACAATTTAAGAGACTCTTTCTGGCAAGATTTATTCTTTCTGAGAACAAATGCCGAGGCTCTCAGATTGCTTCTACCATCTCTTCTCACTTTAAGATGCCATTCAAGTAGGCTGGGCGCAGTGGCACATGCCTGTAACTCCAGCACTTTGGGAGGCAGAGGCGGGCAGATCACTTGAAGTCAGGAGTTTGACACCAGCCTGGCTAACATGGTGAAACCCTGTCTCTACTAAAGGATACAAAAATTAGCTGGGCGTGGGGGCACGCACCTGTAGTCCCAGCTACTCAGGAGGCTGAGATGCGAGAATCGCTTGAACCCGCGAAGGGCAGGTTGCAGTGAGCCAAGATTGTGACACTGGACTCCAGCCTGTGTGGCCAGCCAAGACTCTGTCTCAAAAGAAGAAAAAAAAATGACATTCAGGTATATTAGGGAGGGCACCTTAGGTGATGCAGTGGTCAAGGGTTGGAGCTCATGATCACAGTTTCTTTTCATTCTAATCTACAGGATGACGTTCATCCTTTTCCATCTGGTGGCCAGGCGCCCTGTTGAGAGTCAATGATAAGATCTGCAGCTTGTGGCTCTTTCTTTTCCCTCAGGTGATGCATCTGGTGGTGCTCCTAGCTGTCTTGGCCTAACCTGAGATCCTACTGATGTTACCTTTCAGGGATCTGGCAGAGATTCTCTTTTGGTCCTATCTTGGGTTGTCTCTCTGTGACATTTGCTATGATGCCACTCACTCAGCTGTTGCTAGCTAGCTTCACAGCCAGCCTCTCACCTATTTCTGGGCCTCATCTAAACATATAAGAACCAAAATTCGTTCAGAAAACTAAACGTCAGGGCCTCCCTCTACTTGCTCCACCAAGTAGATGTGACCCTACGCTTGTTTATCTCAGGATGGGGTATTGCTCAAGAAGTGATGTATTTCAAAATCCTCATTGGAGGAGGAAGCAAAGCCCTTCTGTCCTTGTTATTACTCTTGTCACTAGATTTTTATCGCCCCCATCTTTCTCCCTCTACAAGCCAAAACGTTTTCTTTTTTTCTCTTCTCCCCTTACTGACTCAATTATAGAAATGTGCAGGCTTCCCTCTTCTGTTTCATATTCTATTTGCCCTGATGCAAACCTCCAGGTGTAATTCAAATTCAAGCCTTAATGATAAATCGTGAGGACCAGGGGAAAAAGACTGGGAATATTCAAGGAGCTGTGTCTTCCAGGTAAGATGGTTAATGTGCTAAAGTGGGAGAGTGAAAAGAATTTGGAATATAGCAGAAAATTCTATTTTACTTGTCTAAAGTGGATTATTACCTTATTTTCTCTCTCTGCATTCTTTCAGGAAAATGTCTTAATCTCTCCTTCCTCCCTGCAAAGATGTTTCAAGTTGACTAGGGGAAGGTCATATACTCAGAAAGGCAAAAGAGAAAAATAAACTACTAGTTTTCAAAATATAACACCATTACAGTGGATCCTTTCTTTTGCTAATAAGTTTTGGGTTTTCAATGATTTGCTTGTTTTTTAAATAACTAGCTCTTGGACTTATGTCTCAATTCATATATATTTCCATGTTCTATTTCCTTTGTGTTACTTTTATCTTTGAAAATATTCTATTTTTTTGACTTACTGTCTTGAAATGAATGCTTGATTTATTTATGTTATTCTTTCCTTTTTTTGTAACAAAAATATTTTAATACTATGAATTTTCCATTGAATGCAGCTTTGGACCCATTTCTTCAGTTTCTATATATAGTGTTTAGATTTTTAAAAATACATTCTAAATTGTATATAATCATTAGAAATGAGGGGTTGAAGTGTTGTGAGAATAATGAAATGATCAGCATAAGCTTCTGACACTAGCTAATTTGGAGTTCCATGGGAACATCCATGTCTCAGCTATGATTTGGCACCTTTTGGTGGCAGCTGTCCATTTTGGTTTTAAACATCTATAATGGTGATTTGGGATTTGTGTGGCAGCCTGTGACTTCCTGGACAGCAGCTACTGTTATTCTTTGAATGTCCTGGTTTGTTGGTGTCTGTTTCATTGGTCCATCTCAGATTATTGAACCAGGGGTTTACCAGAGATAGGGGACCTCACCTTGACATCTTTGTTTTTCTAGAGAGGTTCACCTGCTATTTCTTTTTTTTTTTTTTTTTTTGAGACGGAGTTTTGCTCTTGTTACCCAGGCTGGAGTGCAATGGTGTGATCTCGGCTCACCGCAACCTCCGCCTCTTGGATTCAGGCAATTCTCCTGCCTCAGCCTCCTGAGTAGCTGGGATTACAGGCATGCGCCATCATGTCCAGCTAATGTTTTGTATTTTTAGTAGAGACGGGGTTTCACCATG